TTCAGATGGTTTAAGAACCTTTTCTATTCTTATCAGCCTTGAGTCTGGTACCATAAATGACAGGGAGGTTATTTTATTATACTCTGATTCTCTCAATGCAAGGATTAAGAGGGTCAATTTATGTCCCAAGTTTACTATATTATTTGTTCCAGAGGCTGGTAAACATTATAAAGGGATATCACAATTGGATTTTGAATCAATAACTTCAGATGCTGAACCATATATTTTAATGAGAAGTTGAATTTTTCTTACAGTGGTCACATAATACTATTAGTTTCTTGAAGATACAGTAGAGTTAGAAAAGATAAATATTAACACAAAAAGTATGATGAGGTCTTTAAATATCATCATATTTCATTCTTCAAAAAGGCTACTAAGGTCAACTATAGTTCTTTTTATGCTTTGTTATTCTGGGCCTCTTCACAAATAATTTTGAAATCATACATGACATTGGTTCTTAAGCTATTACCTAGTTGAAGGCCTCTGTTTGCTCTTAAGAGCAATTCCTATTGAGGAATCTGTGAGGTATTTAATCCATTAGCTGGTATACAATAAATGGCTTATTTAGAAGATAAGCTAAGAGCCTTCTGAGATATATATGAAGTGAATTACTTTTGGTACATTCAGATCTCTGTGGACATGTCTATTTTCAGGATGAGTGAAAGGAATCATGTTTTACTATATATCCTATCTTCTCAGTTGAGAACACCGAATGCTTACTACTCAATTTATGAGGACTTTTGTGTATATCACTAGGGAAATGTTTAGAAAAGTTTCTGGAAACCTATATTTTGCTGGAATATTTTTCTTTACAATTTCTGTTAGTAATTTTTTGAGAGATATTTTGCTATAGGATGCCTGTGCTCTCTGAAGAGGCAGAGAAAGACAGAGAGATAGAAAGAGAGAAATCACCTCTCAGGGAAAATGGCCATACTGCAGTCCCTTCTTATCCATCCTCCTCTTGGGATTTTCACACGTACGCACACATGCCTGGCATGAGTTTTATGCCACTGGGTCCAGGACTTGAGCCGCAGCCGACTACATGGAGGTCCAGCAACATAACCATTATGCCATCTGCTGGTTCATCTGTTAATAATTTCTTGTAGGAGTAGAAATATGATTTATGACTATTAACTCTGATTTTGTTTTTTATTCCAGAGTAAAAATAATACTTTCATTTTCTTTTTGGTTCAGAAGAATAAGATAAAACTAAGTTGTGGTTGTCCTTAGCAATAAAGTCCTCACTTTTCAAATGAATACACTAAACAACTACTGTTGTGTTGAAACTAGAGTTAATTTCTTTCTTTTTCCAGAACTCCATGATATTGAGCATGCTCCAATTGTAGCATTTTGGTTCTAGGCATAGCTTTTTCCTTGCTGTATGATGCTGCAGCTCTCCCTATTCAGGACATTACTAATGCATTAGCAAAGCATTAGTCAGGTTAAATGATATTATAGCAGTGGGGTCATAAGACCAGGGATGAAAGATAAGTTTATTACACTTTTTTTTCTGTTTAATTTATCCCAAAATGGCCATTTGGGTTCCTCAACACAGTGAACATATTTGTAGCATTCATCTTCTGTACAAAAACGATTACTTATTTGCTGTAATTTGTCTTAGTAAATGCTTTAAACAATGAGGTTGGATCAAAAAAAAAAAGTGTGGCCACCATTTAATAACTATTCCTTGTCTCCTAGAAAGTCAACATTTAGGTGAAGCTCAAGATGTCTTTAATGAAGATACATGATATTAGAATTTTTTTCTAATACTTACAATAACTTTAGAGTCCTTTTATTGGAATTTTTTCTTTATTTAGCAATATATACTTCTAAATTTTTAGCTGTTTTTATGGTTGCTGTATTGATTTCTGACTATCTCTTCAGATTTTTAACTATAAGTCTAACCCATGGAATTGTATTGTTTTCCTCCATGGATATAGGAAGATCTTGTAAGAGTTAGTGTGGATGGAGAAAGGTGATTGTCATTGTAAAATATATAAACACTTTGCCAATGCTAGGTTACTTTCTTGAATTTAATTTTTCATCTTCTTAGGACACCAAAATTGATGAGTTTAAAATAGTGGAAATAGTTAATGAAATTATTATGCCTATAAGTAATTTATGGTAAGCAGATATGCCTAATAATTTAACTATTATAAGTACAGTATTGGCTAGTTTCAGTAGATATATTGAGTGAGATCAGTAGTTATTAGTTTCTTGGCAAAGTCATGATGCATTTTTCCATAGAAAAATATGACATGACTTTCCTGACAACCTCAAATTTTGAATCAAGTCCCTAAATCAACATTTGAATAAGTAAACATTTTAGACCTAGGAAAATCAATGTGTGATTTTTTGAGTACTCTGTTTTATGAAAGTATGGATTAATACCAGGACTTCACTAACTAACATAGTTAACATGTATTTGTGAAAACATTGATAAAGAAAAGAAACCAAAGTGTAATCTGGTAGAGTGTCAGTCCCTAGATGTTGGAGAATTTGTGTAGTTTATTTCTGTTTTTCTTGTGACTAGTAGCCATATAATATTTCTAGAACATAAACAAAAGATTAATGAATAAACTAAGGCATTATTTTAGATTTATACTTGTTCATATGAAGCTTTGCTTAAAACTAATTAGAATAAAAACTTAAGCACTAAAATAACCATCAAAAGACTGATACAGTACCATAAATCTACTTCATTTCTTTTTTGTAAAATGCTCAGCATATGACTGACAGCATGTTGCTGTCTGGTTAAACTGACAGTTACAGAATTTGATATATATTGTCTTCATATATTGGGTTCAATTGGGCATGCTTATTTTCAGAAAAGTTGAATTTTATTTTATAACATAAATTAGAAAATATCACTTTTCTCAGATAATTTTTGTGAAAAGATGTTTTCCTCCATTTAGGTGAGCAAATGACATTCTCAGATGCATAAACTTTAGAGTTCTATTTATTGTAGGTAAAGTTTTTTCTTTATAACAACAAGTCCATCTGTATTAATCACAAATTTGTGAGTTACGTGCTTTGATTGCTTTGACCAGTTCATAGTTAATTTTCTGTGAGGTTGAAGAGGTAACCTAGGGAATAAAAACTACCATTCTTGTTATTGAAACAAATGTCCTTTATTTCTCACTGGCAATTTTGACAGAAATTTAAGTGAATGAATGGAAACGTGACTTTCTTTGAGCTTATGTATTTATATGACTGTAATAAAAATACATAATTTTAGTGCTAACTACTAGATGTCTCTTCAGGATGTTTTTGTTGTAATAATTTTAAAAATTGTGTAGGTAGAGATGAATTCTCAGCTCTGTGATATGTTTGTGATGGTCTTTCATGCACATAGGTTTAAAAGAAACATACAAGATACCTGCACAAGTTCTTGCTGACCTATACAATACCCGCATCCTAATAGGTCGTATTTCAGCTCCTATATTTTTGACAAATAGCTGAGCTCTACAAAGCTCTGTCCGTGGTGCTGAAACCTTTCATGATGTATGAGCATGTCTTACTGATAAATTCTAATGTCAGCCTCCGAGTGAAAGTGATTCATCAGGTTGTAAAATTTGTGTTTGGGAAGCACATTGAATTAGCAGGTTCTGTATTTTTGTTGTGTTAAAATTAACACAGTTTGTCTTTTTTGTTTCAAAGAGTCCAGAATAATTTACCTTCCTCATTTAAAAAAATAGCTAGAATTAATTAGAAACTGTCAGTGTTATCATAAAAGAAATGTCTAATATTAACAAATAAATTGATATGACTGCAGTGCTGGAGTTGTTACAGGCCAGTGACATGTTGATAATGTGTAGCAAGCTACTGTAAGAGAAGTTAAACCCTTGATTCTGAACAGGAACAACAGCAATTAATATGAAAACTATGTAGGTTTGGAGAAAAGAGTGAATACCTTATAAGAACTATGTTCCATGATGTTTTATTTGTACAAAAATACCTTGTTTTCAAGAATGGATTTCGTTTGTAAAAATTACTTAAACCTCAAAGATTTTTTTAAAAAAATAAAATAAAATCCCTTTTTTTTTCCAAATAAAATCCTGTATTTCCTATAGAAAAATTTTAAATAATTAATAATGTCAATGTACCTTCAGTTTAGTGATCTGCTGTCTTTTTATCTGTGATTTTCGGTGCTTAGATATAGTCTTAGACAATAACACAATAACACTTTTTTAGTTATAGTTTTTTTTTTCTTTTACTATTAATTTTAGAGGCTTTACCTTAACAAAACTGTTCTCTTAAATTTTTATTAAACTCTGAAATTATCTAAATAATGTAAATTTTATATTGAGCTGAACTAAATAAGAGGGTGAATTTCAAAAAATTGAGCCTGATAAATTTTGTACAATTCAATATATTTTGTAGTGATATTCTCAAATCCTAGTCTTAGAATGGGACTTGTTATTTCCTTTCTATGTTTGCAGCACAGTAAAATAAGTTATTTACTTATTATCGTAGTGAAGCCTATCATGTGTTTAGAATTACAGATTTGGAGATAGCACCTAGATCACAAGTCCTACCAAAATTTGGTAATAGTTTCTGCAAAGCGAGCAACTAAAAGCCAAACTAATATTATTTATTAAAATAAGACTTCAGTTGCTTAAATATTGAAATTACATTATTGAAAACTAGTAATTAAATCCACTCCAACCACTACTTTTTAAGAAAAGAAAAATCTTTAAGTGAGCACATAATTTTCTAGAGGATTTGTTTCTGTCCATAGTTAAAGAGTAAATTAGTTTTATTACTGCATTTTAATGTCAATGGAATGCCTTTTAAAATCCATTTTGTGTGGTATAAAAATGTAGATACATAACACAATAAAGTGTCTAACTCTCAGCATTCTGAACTTTATTACTAAAAACACCACTATCTAAAAACGTCATTTCAATGATATCTGGTCAGATGATATTTCCCAGAAATTATTCTTTATTTAGAAACAAAAACAAGACAAAAGCAATTGATTTTAATCCAAAATGTATTTTTCCTTATAAAAGAAGTCCACATACTCACTGTGTCTACTCTACAGAATTTGTCCATTTTATTACACCACGTGTCAATTCGAGTTTATCTGGTCACTGTAAAAACTCGTGGCTAATATGTGTAATACAACACAGGAGGAGGTATTGCTCAGTTCAGCTACTCTTATATACTTAAAAAAAATACAGAAATGTTTTTGTCCACTTTAACTGTAGTCCAGACATAAAAGTTACATGAAAGTTTTAGAAAATGTAGTTATTTTATTTGGTTGCCACAGTACTCTTTGAAACCACTTAATTAAAATGCTGAACTTGTACATATTTCCATTAGTCAGGAGCAGCATTGGTGAAGCTTTAACTTCTTTCTAGAATGTAATATTTCTTGCCATTTCCCCCCCTTTATTTTTTAGCACAATTGCAGTCTCAAGCTTTTCTCTGAAGTAGGTATCGTTGGTTGTTTTTAGGACATATTTGTTGGCACACCTATAACAGTTGCTTTCACTTCCAATGATGTAGTTTTTTCCTTGCCTGCTTCCCAGAGGTTTATCAGAGGAGGATAAAACTCACTGAACGCAAAGGTTGGTTTCTGTAAGTAATTCCTCACATAACTGTGGACACCATCACAGTTCATTTCTTGAGACAGGCAGCTGAAAAGACATATCACACCAATAATCCCCAGAAGTCCTCCAAGGCAGGCCATAAATGTTGTGGTGTTATTCTTTTCATACTCTCTTTGATCCGAGTCCAAACCTTTTGTGGTGACATTTATGCATTGTTTTCTATTTTTCTGATAGATGGTGGGAATATCAATACAAATCTTATACTCAGTTGACGGGTTCAGACGAGTGAGATTATATACCTTGACATCAGATGGTATTCGAGCACTCTGGGCAGCGTGGAAACTTTCGCTCTTGACAAAAGCTGTCCACTTAACACTGGATTTTAGAATTTTAGAACTTGCTTTCCAAGATACCAGAACTGAATTGGCCTGAATATCTCTTATTTTAATATTCAAAGATCCATCGTTATCCTGGGGAAAGAAACCATCCACCTTGACCATAACAGACTTCAAATCAGCACCAACTAGGTTAGTTGCTATGCAGGTATATAAACCTCCTTCTTTTGGGCTTATGCCACTTATATCTAGTGTGCCTTCAGAATGGACATAGAACTTCTCTGTCAGTGTATTAGGCAAGAGCTTTTGACCAGAAGGCGTTATCCAATAGATTTCAGGGTGTGGCTCGGCAGTAGCTCTACAATGTAAGGAAAAATAGCTCCCAGCATCTACATCCAGGTTAGAAGGAAAGCTCTCAGGAGCTATAAGAGGGAGGCAAATTTCCATCATGTCCCTGAAATGCACTTGACGAACATTCTGGCCTTGGAATTCAGGTGGATCCACACAGAACAGTGAATCTGGCTCCATAAATCGAATGTTGGTCTTGTTCATATTAATCCAACGGATAACACAGTCACACCTGATGGGGTTGCTGTGTATGCTGATTTCCTTGAGGTTTGGCAGAGACTCAATGGTACCATGGTACAGGGCACTGAGGGCATTGCTGTTCAGCATGAGTGATTCCAGCTTGGGGAGTCTGAAAAATGCATTGGGGTGAATGTAAGACAATCTGGGGTTATTAGTAGCTTCTATTTTCCTTAAATCTGGCAAGTTATCCACAGCAAGACTGTCAATAGAAATCAATTCAGGCATATTATTTATCCCCAACTCTTTTAAGTGTAGCATATTGCTAAAATCACCCCTTCGTATTCTATTAATAGGATTTTTATTTAGATCCAAAAATTTGAGGTTAACGACTTTCTGAAGAGCAACATGGGGCACTTTAATAAGCCTGTTGTCATAAAAAGAGATGCTTTCTAAGTTTTCAAGTCCGACCAAGGCATTATCAGGTATTTCTGTGAGGTTTATACCAGCTATAACCAAACTGCGAAGATTGATAAGAGGCTTAAAGTTCATGTCTTTGATTCTGATGATTGGATTTTCCCCAATCATTAGAATCTCTAGATTTGGAAGAGCATCAAACCACTTACTGTTGATCATTTGCAATCTATTTGAATTGAGATGAAGTCGAAGAAGGTTATGAAGGCCTATAAAGGCTCCAGGTGAAATTGTAGAAAGCAAATTGTGATTAATATACAGTTCTTGTAAGTTGCTCAGTCCAGACAGACATTTCTCAGGCAGGTCAGTAAGTTTGTTTTCCTCTAGGTACACAGAGAGGAGCTGAGGCATCTTTTTTACATTTATAGTGGTGACTGAAGATAAATTGTTCTGAGATAAGTCCAGGCCAGTAAGGTTTACTGGAAAGTCTGTGGAGTATTCAATTTTTGCAATATTGTTAGTCTGTAGGAGCAGAATCTGTGTGTCAACAGGCAATCTGGCTGGGAAATTTAAAAGACCTAAATCATTACAGTCCACTGTAGATGCTTCCATATAAATGGATCTTGGTGTAAACCAAGGCCTGATTTCACATGTACACAGTTGTGGACAATCCACTTTCTTATCTACAGCTTGTACTAGTGTAGTGATAGTTAGGCCGAGTAGCACATGAATTTGGAGTGGCATGTCCTTCATCTTAGCTTTTTTCTTCAGAAATTTAATGGGCCCTTAAGGATTCCACAGTCACAGACAGTAAGTTCAACAGGAACTGAATGATAAGGAAAGTATTTGGATTTGTCAAACAATGAATGCCATAGAACTGCGAAGTTTTTCTTCATGAAAGCACGTGCCAGTGCCACAATTGCATTGTCCAAAAATTTCATGCATGTTGTAGAAAAGATCACTGTCTTCTTAATGATGTAACAATGATGAGCTTTTGGAAGATGGAGTATGTATAGATGATCAGAGGTGATGGAGTAATTCATTTATTTAAGGGTATAATATTCACATCCCCTGCTTGTTCAGTACTTGCAGGAATAGCAGCATGATGCTAAATGTAATAAGATATAAAAGAAAACAGAGAAAAGAAATTAGTTCAAAGGAAAAATATCAAAATTCATATCAATTTCTAATCATAATTATTTTATGAATTATCCTAGTTTACAATTCAGTATGCTTTCAGTATTTTATTATTATAATAGTTTTTTACTCAAACACTGGGCTGGGTGAGGAATTTCATTTATAGAAGAGTAGAGTTTCATTTAATATTAAGAATATTTTTCCAGAATTTTTCTGTTTTTAAAACATTTGCTGTTTATACCTTATTTTCTTTATTATATTTTTAGATTATCTTTGATAATTACTTACAGGGAAAAAAAGAAATATAACTTTTTAGTAATGGCTATTTGTTTTCCTTTTAAAGAAGCAAAATAAAAAGACTACAAATAAGTGGCATCCTGTTACAATTGAATTAGTTGGACTATTGTTTTTTTCAGGCCCTGAGGAGACATGTGGGGAGGAAATTATAAAATGATTGTTAAATGAAATAGAAGTAGTATTTTGTAGCTGGTTTTCCCATTTTCATTCATATTTCTCTTTGTTGTCCCTTTGCATAAAGTGACAAATTGAGCAGTACTTGTGAGAGACTAAGTCTCATTTGCTATATATGTACTTGTACAAATACATTTATTTTACTGAAGTTCAGGTTAATATTTTATAGTTTTATTTTTCCCTGAGAACAACTTATATTCCATTAGTTGCTAACAATGAAAAAAAAAAACCTCTATCACTAAAACATATGTGTGTGTGTGTGTATGTATATATGAGTGTACACACACATATGTATGATGTATTACAGAAAAAATGAGTATTTCCAGAACCAAGTTGCGATTTTGATAATGTGCTGTGTTTTAAATACTATATAAATACTATATACTTTATTCAGTTGGATTGCTAGATGAGCTCTTTTCAAATGTACAGGAGAGTGGGAACATAGCCACTATTCATTCTGGGGCATTTTGCCTCCCAGCAATAATAATCTAGTGAAAAGTCTGTGAACATTGTTTCTTCTTTCACTTCTGTCTAATATTGACATTCATAATAGTGTTGTTGACTGAATTGAAGATAAGGTGCATGCTTCAGTGACAAAGATAAATATATTTGGAGATGTGGTTTCTACAGAGAGACAGAAATGCTTCTTTTTTAAGTAAGAAAATATTCTAGTTTTGCAAAATTGTAAATCATTTACAGTTCACAGTCATACCTAATTTGCCTCTTACCCTTCATTTTCAGGGATACTATTTAATCTGAAAACTGAATCATGAGTTTCAGATAACTAAGTTACTTCGAATTAAGTGTTTATGTTACTTTTTTATTACTTCATCTCTATATCGATCTAAAGTTCCATTTTTCTTAACAGAATGTTTAAGCTATTACTTTTAATCTTAAGTAGATTCTCAACCCCTTGAAAATAGTTCTTAACACTTCCTTCCAGAAGATGCCAGATAAATCCATCTTAGCCTATCGAGCCTTCTACAAAATAAGGTCCACTTTTTCTTTGTTTATTGTCATCTGCCATATTCCTCCATGCTACCCTCTCTCTGCTAGTAGAGTTGTGTGTGCCCTATTGTTTTATTGATGCCTGAAATGCCTCTAGTTCTTTGTTTTAAATGACTTCTACTGTTGTTTTTTCTTTCTTTTTTTAAACAGCCATTCAAATGTCTCTCTCCTGGATAAGCTTGCATATAACTCTTCCCTCTGCTTGTACTTTGCTGCCCCTCCACAGTCGTGCTGTAGTCTTACTACATACTGGAATAACTTTTACTCAGTTCATTCCTTCATCAGGTACTAACTAACCTCCTGGGGAGAATGAGACACGCCTGACTCTGCATCTCCCCCTCTTTTGGCAATGATAACTAGACTATAGCAGATATTTAGTAAATGAGTTTTTAAAGGATAAATTCATTTATGTATATGTAACAAATATAAAATGTTTAATTTTCTGAGTTCAATAAATCTGTTGGAGTGTCAGAAAAGTCATGATATATATTTTTTTGTTTTTCTATGCAAAAATGCATTATGACTTTTCAGATGCCCCAATAGTTGTTGTAACTTGTATAAATCTATTATTTAACCAGAATATATATTATCTGTATAACTAAAATCTAAAGATTAAATTTGAATACAAAAGAACATTAGACTTTAAAAGAAAGTTGTACCTTCAGTTTATTTAGTCAACATTTATTGAACACCATCTATGTGCCAGTTATTGAATTACTAGCTAGAGGAAACAAAGATGACTTAGATCTGATTTCTTTCTGTAGTTAATTTTCAGACCGGTCAGGGGAACATAAGTGAACAGATGGTTAGAGTTCCATATGAAAGCTCATATGGGAGCATATAGGAGGAATGCTTGAATTAAACCAGAATAAAAATTCATTGCCTTTTTGTCCAGGATAAAGATGCAGCTTAGAACATATGAAATATATATTTGTATGTTCCCAGGAATCACTCAGCTGAGAATGGAGAAACTGTAACTTTTTCCAGTTAATTGGTTAGATCTATTTTCTCCAGACAAGCAAAGAGAGGTCTATATCCTCCTTTAAGTTGATTAGGTAATTTGAAATATTAAAGACAAAGTATTCTTTTGTGTGGAATGTTAGCCTAATGATGTCATTTTCTGTTTTGTAATTACTCTGGTGAGTGTCTTTTGAAATTTACATTCAATTAGAAAGTCCTTTTCTGACCCTGTTTCATTATTTATGTAGCTATTGGTTCATTGGAAAAGTAATGATACATTTTTGCATAGAAAAAACACACAATTTGAAATAACTTTTTTCTTTTAGTTTTGAAAATGAGAGTTTTTATAATGGTGAAAAATTCGAATTTTGTTTCATCTTGTCTTTATGGTGAACTTGTCATATGTCACCATATGGCAAGCACAATAAAGAATACAGAAATTCATCCTTCCTTTTTTATAATGCTGACTTTTCCTTATGTTTGTAGAAAAGATTATACTGCTTTCACTAATAGACTATTCGGCATGGGTTATTTGTGGGACAGTAAGGCAATAATAATATTTTATTAGTGTTTTATAGTTTTCAGAACTGTTTCTTATTCATTGTTTATTTTATGTTATCAGTGACCTTGTAAGATAGGTTGGGAGGTACTTTAATCCCCATCTTTTAATATAAGAATATTAAAGCCTTCAGGCTGAGATCACATAGCCAATAAATGATCAGGTGGAATTAGAAACCAGGTTTTGTCTTTAGGCCTGCAACTATTTCTGGTAAGTAATATTACTTACATACACATAAATGGGGTGAGATGATTTTTTTAAAAGGTAGTTATTTTATTTCTTAGAATGAGTTGGCATCACCTTTGTCTTCAACTATTCAAATTTAGAAAATTAATATTTTTCAAGAGGGATTTTGCCTTTGGGCATGTGCACTTGTTAGAGAGAAACAGAGACAGTGAGAAGGAAACTAAGAAATCACCCCCGAGGGGGATGGCCACACCACAATCCCTTCTCATCCATTCCTATTCCAGGATCTTGGGCATGCATGCACTCACGTACATGCACCTGGCATGATTTTTAAGCTACCGGGTCCAGGACTTAAATTACAGTTGATCATGTTGGAATTGAGCAGCGTAACCATTATACCATCCTGCTAGCTCTGAACATTAATTTTATGAAGCTAATGATTACTAGGGTTTGATTCATCCTAATCAAACTCTCAAGGAACTAATACACAAAATCAACTTGTCAATTTATTAGAATGAGAAATAAGACTGAGAAAGTAGACTGCATTCCTAATTCCACTGCCAAAGCTTTTGTTCCATTTCAGAAAAGGTACTTGAAAATATGAATTACAAATCTTCAGTTTACTTGTATATATTGAATCAGAGGCAGAGAAGTCATTTCAGGGATCTAAATTATCACAGTCATCAGAAATGATTGCCTGTACATCTGCTTCAGTAAAGAATATACTGTCATGGAAACTGGAACTCACAGTTCTCTTGGTCCTCAGAATGACCTCATACTTGAAATTCCTGTGCTAGAAAGCTTTTCTTGAGTTTATTCTTGGTCACCTTTCATTTGTGTTCTAATAATTTGTTTAGACATTTTCCTTTATTAGACATGAAATCATTGGGCATTAGATGACTAACAGACATTAGATTATTAGATAGTTCTCTATACATTTATTAGATTATTATTCTTGGTCATAGATTATTACTATTGATTTGATCCCAAAAGTGCACTTTATTAGTTTTTATTAGTTGATTAGTACCTAGATAAGTATTTCTAATGTATAAATAATTAAATATTTTTCTATTTGATAATTCACAAAAGGGTCTTTCAGTAATTTTTTTTTGAATGATAGCATATGAAATAGTCATTAAGTGATTTTTATAAATAACCGACGGTAAACAACATGATCAGAAAGAAATGAGAAGGACACATCTGGATTTTTACAGAATTTTTGACCTATGTTCTGATGATTAAAATTTAGAAATGTCAGTCTTGCTGGGTAGCCTGGTGGTCAAAGCAGCCAGATCTCACATGGCCAACTATCTTGTTTGAGTCCCAGACCAGGGAGCTTGAGAAACATGCCCAGTGTTTGGCTAAAATCCCCAAAAGAGGGAGAGAGGGAGGAGTTTGGATTGTGGCATGACGATTTCCCGTGGGGGATGTCTTCTCCTCTCCCTCCATGTTTATTCTCATCTCTCTCTAGCTAGTACATGTACCCTCCAGCACCAAAACAAACAAAGAAACAAGCAAGTCAACAAACAACCCCTCACCAAAAAAAATAAATAAATAAGTATAAGGGTTATACTGCAAAGTGTCCATGGGCAAAGCAGAAAAGAATTCACTTTACAGGCACCGATGTAGAAACATGACCCCCCTTTAGAGCATGTTGGAACTATTTTAACTTTGCCACAGAGAAATTTCTGCTATTGACCATTTAGGAATTTAGGGTAGATTATAATTATAATGGTGTAATTTGTCTTAGAGGAGAGATTTTCATTTCAGTTTTATACATATTGTGT